GACAGAGTGGCTGGAGAGCAGCCAGGCAGAAAGGGACCTGGGAGTTTGGAGAGACAGAAAGCTGAACATGAGCCAGAAGTGTGCTCAGGTGGCCAAGAAGGCCAATGGCATCCTGGCCTGGATCAGGAACAGCATGGTCAACCAGACCAGGGAAGTGATTCTTCCCCTGTACTCAGCGCTGGTGAGGCCACACCTTGAAGACTGTGTACAGTTCTGGGCCCCTCAGTTCAGGAAGGATATTGAGGTGCTGGAGTGGGTCCAGAGACGAGCAGCGAGGCTGGTGAAGGGACTCAAGCACAAGTCTTATGAGGAGAGGCTGAGGGAGCTGGGGCTGTTTAGCCTGGAGAAGAGGAGGCTCAAGGGTCACCTTATCGCCATGCACGCCATGGTCTAGTAATGACAGTAGGGTTGGACTTGATGATCTTTGAAGTCTCTTCCAACCCAGTTGATTCTGTGATTCTATGATTCATTAACTTTATACTATTGTAGATCTGTTCTTACTGCTGCTACCTGTCGAAGAGAGCTGCCACAACATATTTGCTCTTGCTGTCCTGGGCCTAGTTAAAGATTATTCCTACATGCTAGGTCTATGAAAATGCATAAACTAATTGATGGTTTAACTTATTTTCAGGCTGCCAAGATCTGCAACAACATGCTCTTGGCCATCAGTATGATTGGCACTGCTGAGGCTATGAATCTTGGAATCAGGTTTGTTTGAGTTTTGTATAGGATTGAGGCATTTTTTCTGTGTTTACAGTTTTTGTGGTTTATAGTTGACTTTTGTTGAGACAATGATGATTATATGGCATAGATAAACTTTTGCCAGAAGTTGCCTTACAAAGCCATTAACAGGCTAAAGAGATTATTTAACAAAAGCAAGGATTTTCAGAATTGGAATATTCTCTTGTATTGGCTGTATAGGTTGTTGCATTCAGTGTCTGAAGTTAAGAGTTTATTTGTTTTGCTGTAGTGCAGTGTACAATAATGTTTGTCTTCCATTATAAACATACAGAGGTAAATTTTTGTTTGTATTCTAAGATAATGTACAGTTTATTCAGAGTATTATACTCCCATATGGCTCTCATTGCCTTTGTTTACTTTGTTAAATTGCTCCAAAATATATTGTAAAGTAAAACTTCTACTACAGTGTGTATATCAAATTAAGATCAAAGCATAAAACAGAACATCTACCTTTCTTCGATTTTATGAGTGCAGTTTGTCCTAATTGCCAAAACTCCTAGTTTGTCAAAAAGCTGGAATATGCTCCACCACACTCTTGTCAATGCTAAGAGTACCATTTATTTTCTAGCATATGATGCATCTAACTTGTAAGTGGCAGCATATTCAAGCAAAATTATTTTTCCCTTTCCAATTGTAAGCTACTTATTTTGCTGTGATCTTTGAGATTTTGTTTTGTTTTCCAATAGAGTGCATGCAAGTACGAGTTCAGTACCACAGTATTTGACCCTTTCATAAATACTTTTAGCCAGATCTAAATCATTTGCTAATTTATAGGCAGAAAAATCCTATGTTTGAAGAGATTATCTTGCAACCGCATATCTTTTAAGGGCTTTTCATGCATTATTTATCTGCACAGTTGCATCCTTAAAATTTGCCTGCTGAAACTACAGATATTGTAGATACTTAGCAACTGGGCTCAACTGTGTTCATGTGGATTTGATACTCTATAAAAACAGCAAGAGGGCATCAAATGCTTAAATAAATAAAAAAGAGCACCTACATATGCACACATACACGAGACAATGTAATGGATTCACATTTCCTCTTAATTACCATATCAAGATGCAGTTGTTTTATTGAATTGCCCTTGTCTCAGATGTTAGACTATCTTGACCTATTAAGTTGTCATGTTGTAATTGAGATAAAAGAGGAATTTGCTTTGCATCAGTGCTAATTGGTTTATCAATATCCTGTACCATTTACATTTTAAAATTGAGAGTCTGTAAGATACTGAAACATGTCTGCATCGAGCCATAATAAAAACAGTAGCATTGTTTACAACCATTGTAATCCAGTATAATCCAGAAAGCTTTCATCAGGTTCTGGTTTAAGTCATGGTTCACTTAATAAAACATATGCAACTGATTTTTCATTATAGTTTTATCTACATTTGTAGGAATGATTAGAGTTAAAATTGAAGGTAAAATAAAATCAAGAGGTTTGGAAGACAGATATTCTGGGCATGTAAGCCCTGTGCAGAGCAAGTTGATGTCTGCAGTCACTGTAGCTTGAAGGTGTTTAGAATTTTCATTTTTCATTTTTTCCTTTTCCAGTTTACATTTTGGCTGAATTTGTATTCATCATTTGTAAGCAAAAATCCAGTGTGAAGGTGACAGTATATAAAGCTTCCTACCCTAAATTAAGGTTATCAAGAAGGAACTGTATTTATTGTAGAAGAAACCTGCTGATTGTAACCCAAATTATACAAAGAGCAGAATCTCATTTAGTCAGAAACTGCATGAGGTTTAAAACAGAGACAGTAGTTTAAAGCCTTATGAAGTAATTTAAAACCCTTGCATTGATTTTAATTTGCTGTGTTTCAAATCCTAGCGAAGATGACTTCTGCTTCTAAATAGAATAAGAGCTTTCCACTTGGGTGTGTAAGGATTTCTAATGTGCAAGTTCACAGTTGTCATTCTAATTATTAGAAGTTTTGCTATATTGATGAGTTTATGATTTTTTCCAAGTGTATGTCTCAATGGATAGCATAGCTGCCTCGTCTGGAAAGAGTAGGAAGCTGAACTTGATTTATTAGATTGATGCATATCTGGTGAAGAAAGTCTGACTCTGACCTAATAGTGGTAAAGGATACTGAAAATCTAAATATTCAGACTACGAATTGTGGTGCTTAGACGTGTTCTTAACTCTTAGATGTGATATAAAATGTCTTTATGTCATTCATTGTGTATATTTGCTGCATCATTTAAATCCAGTTTTAGGGACTTTGGATAATTAATTATTCAAAATATAGCTCCCTGAACTAGATGTAACTGGCAAGTCATATTACACCACCTTCCATAAACCACTATATACACTGAGCTTACGTCTTCAAATCAATGGGATATTAATTCTGTTAATAAACCACTTCTCTAATGTTTCCCTAAACCAGACAGCCTAAATTTTCATTTTCTGAAGCAGTTAGAGTGACTGGCTTATTAATTTCAGATTTTTAAATTACATCTTCTATTGTTTAGTTATCTTATATTTGAAATTATAGAATTTTCCAAATTTCAACATAAATAGCAAATAGAATGTGGTGAGAATGAAAGAAAACTGACATTAATGAGCAAAAATTCCACAATAAACTTGCAGAAAAATAGGCAATATGGCTATGTAATTTGTGCATTTATATTCCACTTGCTTTTCTACTTTAGCATCATCTTTATTTACTAATCATCTTCATTTACTAATGAAGATGTCCATTTTCACTGGAAGCTATTTGAATTAGATTGCATAAATAATTTTATTTTTAATCCATCCATAGTTCTGACCAATGAAATGCTTGGTTTGTTATGTTTAGCTTTTTCCATTACTTTCCTTATGCTTTATGAATGTTGCAGACATTCTGGAAATGAATTCACATTGTCATTTGTATTTTCTTTTTTTTCTAGCATGTTAGTGCAACTTGTCAGTAGAAAAATCTGGAGTAGATTTTGCTATATGGTTTTATGGATAATATGCATATTGCAAAATGCCGTAGTGACTTACTGTGTCAAACCAACATACAGAGTGCATGTAAACTTCACAAATAAGAAGTAAAAACATTGTGATACTGTCCACAATCAGAGGTTATTTTTCTTTTTCGTTTTGCTGGTCATCTCAGTGTCAGTAACTTTATTTTACTGAGCCCTGAGTTACCAGTGAAAGAATGTCTAATACTAGTAAAATATACCTCAGAAATTGAACATTGCTGATACCTGGTTTGTGTTTAGGTCAGATGGAAGTTGCTGCCTGACAGGCAGTTTTCATTCCCTTCAGAAACTGCCTGCAATGACTCAGAGAAGGGTTTATGTGGTGACACAAGACAGGACAAGATTGCTTAATATTATTGGGATATAAGGGACTAGGAGAGCAGTAAGGGCTCCATGGCAATAACCTCACTGCAAAATCACTTTTGTGCTTGCAACGGCAGATAAAATCATCTCTATGAGGAGAGACTGCAGTCGCATTCAGATTTATGCCAAAAGCTGCAAATACAGCTCCTTCCTAAGCATTTTTACTATATACAGGCTTGTGCTTTGTTGTTTTTTCACATACATAAAGTGAAAAGATGGTAAAAGAACTTTGGCTTCTCATGCTGAGTTTAAATGTAGTCTCAGTCTCTAGCTCTGATTTCTGTGAGCACCCCTGAGCTGTGGTTATAGGACAGGAGCAGAAATCGGAGTTGACAGTGTAGAGGGGAGCATGTGCTACAGGCTGAGGGACGATTAGCCCTGGACACATTCCCTCTGCAAATTTTAGAAGGAGTGCCTTGAAAAATAAATCTTCAAGAGCACTCTGGTTCTGCTGGTTTTGGCATGGGGCTATACCTAAGTCTCATGAAGGTTAGTAATGACACTTGAAAGTACTTACTTTGCCATTGGCGTTTTAAACAAGGTCATTTTTTACTGTGATATAAGGGTCCTAAGGTTCTGTTTGAATATTTTCACCTTTAGATAGCATTTATCCAAAGAACCTTCTGATGGGAAACTGTCAACAGTTCAGCTGCTTCAGTTGTTGCACCTTAAAATGAGACCAGGACATATCATTCTTATGAGATGCTATTTCAATTTTTCTGTCTGTGCCAGACTGAGCTCTTAGAGGAGTGTAAAAACAATTCAGTACATGGTTTTATCAAAGCTCAGCAAAACTCAAGTTTTCAGCAGTGGCTTGAAGGGATCCTATCTTAACCTTTTTTTTTATATGTGCGTCCATTGCTGAGTTTCTGCTGTTCACTTCATTAGGAATGTTATTGAAGAAGCATTGATCTGAGGGAAGAAATTGTTTTTGCTCTATTATAAGTACAGTTAATACATGGACTTCTTTGCTGCTTATAAGGGAGAAGAACATTTTGGTAATTGTAAATTCACACGCACATGCACAAGCTCTTGCCACGTCCAATGGCAAGTTGTTATGGGGACTGGCAGACTGTCATCATTTTGATAGCTTGAGCAGTATATCTCCTGAACAGCAATGGAGCTCTTATGCAGAGAGTATCGTATGTTCCCAGCCAATTTACAGGGAAACAGCAATAACATTTTATCATGGTTGAGAGCCCAGTAGCTGCTTCCTATTAAACTTGCCCTTTCAGATACCTGTCTTGGATTAATTTGTTGATTTCAAATGGAAACTCAGTCTTCTCCACTGAAGCATGACTTTCTAGGATAGACTCTCGCTGAATGACAATTACTGTATATTCTAGCTGGTTTCAGACCATTACAAGCTTTGGGCACAGTGGAAGACAGAGGACTACTTCAGTAACTGATTTTAATATATGTCTAATTTTAACTGTCAGTTATATATGCACCAGTGGATGAATCCTCAGAAAGATGAAATGCAAAGCACTTCTAACTTGCTCTTATTAATGATACACTTGCTGCAGAGGAGAAAAAAAACCAGGTTCAGGTCTCCTGAAGAGAAGCTGCATGGTGTTTAAGAGCAATGAATTTTGAAGAAGCAGGGATACAAACTGTCACTATCTTCCTTTTTCTTTTCCTAGAGCACAAATATGCCAGACCCAGTGCAGACAGTATTTTACATATCTGTATAATACATGCATATCTTTTAAAGTACACTTTCACAGCGAGGTAGTTGGAGCACTGTGAGAAGGCCATTCTTTAGGAGGGTTATATGCATTTTGAAATAATAAGCTCTCTGTTGTGCAGTGTGCTCGCAGCTGTAATTATGGGCCTCTGCATGCAGCGAGGTAAGGCACAAGCAGGCACTACATTGTTAAATATACTGATCTGAATGTAACAATGATAAGGGAACAAACAAGCCAAGAGACTTGTTTGGGGGAAAAAAAGGCAACCTCTGTGTATTTGATAGCTCAGGCACCAAATGCTCTCAATGCAGGTATTTTGATTACAGCAGTCAAAGCTGTTATTGGGAATGGCTCTTGATGAAGACTTTGATGATGAAGACTTGATGCACTATGCAAGATAAAAGTACAGTTCAGATACTGAAAAATACAGGTTTTTAAAAAGTAAATGGCCGTGGAAAGTATTCAGTTGAGTGAGAGGGTTGGAAAAAATGGGGAAGAGAATAAAGCTTGATCCCATTCAGGCCAGCAGGAGACTTTCCATGGGATTCCAGGGGCTGCTGCAGCAAATCATAAATAAAGAGTACACAGCAGTAATGCTAAAAAGCTATCTGAGGTACAGAAAATTATCTGCTTTGCATTAGGATGGCAGAATTGCAGGAGGCATATGCCATTATAGGAATAGGAGCCACGCCATAGGGCGCACTGTCTTAAACGTAGGTTTTCAAATCCAAAATGCCTACTGGAATAAACACACGTTTTAGCAACTGTTATATTGGTAATGATCTTTTCTAATCTACAAAGTAAAACCTTGAGGGCTACAGTGCCTGGAAGCACTGTTAGGATCACGATGACTATGGTGTCTGAGGTGTAAGAGCTAGCATAAAGAGTGTTAGATTCTATTAAAAAAACCTTGGTAGAAGGTTGTGATATATCCCTTTTAAAATGTCCTTTTAATGTCATCTTGTATTGTCACTGGAGGTAATTCCCTTGCTTCTTTTTTGTTCTGAGTGTAGCTGAACATTTGTACAGGACCAGATAAACTACTGTAGCTTGTCCTTGCTATAAATGCAGTTGATGTAAAATTACACTTGCAACTTAATATCAGCATAAATGTGAATTCATAAGAGGGTTAATTTCCTATAATATTGTAGAATTTTCAGCATCTACGCTGAGCAGCAGTTTATGCCATCATCTCTGTGGTAGAACAAATGACGTTTCTACTTGGACAAGCTTTGTTTTATCGGGATCAGTAACCTTATCAGCAGTTGACCCAGAACTATAATATATGTTTGCAAATAGATAACATATGTCACAGTGAGATGCAGACTTGCCTCATAAGCAGGAGTATATAATGAAGATTTAATAATAGCAAAGCCAAGAATGTACACAATGTATACAATAGTAATACATTTTGAGAAGTGTAGCACTTTTATTCACATTATTACAGCAGGATCACTTGTGTTACCTTCTTCACTCAGAAATGCACTAGCATTCACATATAAGCATATTGCACAAGTACTTTCATGTTGCCACACTTGTCTGTGAATGTTTTGCTTTGTTAAGCTTTAGAGAATGAAGTTCTGATAGGAAGAACAGTATGTAACCTAGTAGGTAGCAGAACAGAGAATGCCTTTTAGTAATTGAAGTACAAGGGAGCTGCTGTTCTCAGAGGGCCTTTATTTTGCTTGCACTTTTAAAATTGATAGGTGAAGAGGATTTGCTTAGTGCAAAAGGAATAAAGCTCTGAAAACCTACTGCTTAAATGGTGGATTGATGCTCTTTAATTTAAGATACAGCATCCCTACCCCCAATATCAATACTCTGTCATTTTTCATGACTTACAATAAAGGGAGAGGAATGACGGTAGGGTCCTAAGGTATAAAACAAGTCACCCATGTCTTGTGCATTTTGACATTAACACTTCTCTTCCTTGACCTTTGACAGATTAGGCCTTGACCCAAAGCTGCTGGCCAAAATCCTAAATATGAGCTCAGGTCGCTGTTGGTCAAGCGACACGTACAACCCTGTTCCTGGAGTGATGGAAGGAGTACCATCTGCTAATAATTATCAAGGTGGCTTTGGAACGACACTCATGGCTAAGGTACATAACACTTGCATGTAACGTGTGTGCAGTTGCTTCTCTCTAGGCTTCTAGCAAACATTCTTCTCAGTGAAAATTTGTGATTACAGGATAATATGTAAACATGAACAGAGGGGATCACAGCCTCTTACTGGAGGTCTGAATTAATGGGTTTTTAAGCAGGCTTTTTTCCTTAGCCTTCAGTTTCTTTCTAGCCACTATTACTGCTGCACTACTCACTGAGATTATATGCACTGTCTTTTTAAGTTCTGCCTTAATAAAGGACTCCCAATGGACTTGTGCATATAACAAGTGTTCAGCAAACCATTCAGGTGCCTCTTGCATGACTGCTCTAGAATTTAGGAGCCTAAGTTCAAGAGTTAATTTGGGGAAATCCAGATGACCTAATTGGGTGTTAACAGTGGCATAAGCATCTCAGATTTTGGGCCTACTCTCTTCCAGATACCTTAAACTGTGCTACTGGGCATGCTCTCCAGCATCCCCTTCCTTGATAAGCCAATTGCTTATGTGTTTGTCTTTCTGCCAAAGGCCATTTGGAATGCAGAAGGCAAAGAAAGAGATTTCAACTCACACCTCTGCAGGCTGATTTTCTGTAGGTATCTGTGTCATGCTGTGAGCTCTCCTGAATTGTCTTTGTTGGTGACTGAAGTAGTGCTTCTCATGAGTAATAACCTACTAATCTAAATTACTTGTCCACAAAGAGGAAGATCTGGGACTCAGACCCTTCTCAACATGAGGAAGTTGAAAACCTACTGCTATCGCATCCCAGGAGAGTGCACTTGCTGGCATGCTCTTTGTTGTTCCAGGAAAATCACTGCCCTGAGTCACTTTGTGGTCAGGAAAGCAAAGCTTTTAGAGGCCAGAGAAAAGTAGGCATGGCGGTCAGGGCTCTGCATCCCACTGATGAGGACATACAGTTGGAGGAAGGAGCTGTAGAGCTCTGACTCTTGAACTACTTCTGCACTGGGCACAATGTTTGCCTAAGGTAAATTGTAAAACCAGTCCTGGAAGAGATCTCTCATCTAAGCATGTAAGTGTAGGAAATAATTTCACACTGAATATCAGTTTCATGGAGATACTGTACCGAGTGAGGCATTTGAGTTCATACAGGACAGGTTTTAGACATACAAGTGTAGGAGTGCTCCCAACTGGTCAGGCATTCTGGACATTTTCATCTCTTCCACATACAGTGGACTTTTTTTATGGGAAATGCAGAGCATGTTTTTGCCACTTAAGAAAAAAAAAGCTATATTCAAAGGAGAAAAAGGTAGGTAAAACTCTGAGGTTGAGAAGAAAATACTCCACAGTGAAAATATCTAAGAGTGACTCAGTAACACGTTCACTAAACACAGTTACTAAACTTCAAGTTCCTGCTCAAATATCAGATATGGTAGAAGTCAAAGGCTTTCTTAAAACTATTTTGTCAGCAACAGATCTCTCAAACAAAGCCAGAATAATAAGACTTACAATAATAGCCACATTATTTTTGGTGTTTGGGTCAGAAACGTTTGCCAGGCACCTCTGAAAAGCTCTTTGGTCTTGAAATTTGATATTGGAACATAGAATTTAGTCAGCTTAATGTGAAATCTGCTCTAAAGGTTTTGCATTTTAAAAAATCTAGTTTATTTCCCTATGCCATCTTTGTATCCATGGCACTGCAGGCCAGAAGTTCTGTCTTTCCCTGACAGCACAGTTGCTAATTAAATGTCAACTTTGGATCCCCAGAAGAGCTAGATTTATATCACACTCTTCTTGAGTCATGTCAGGACAGCCTTTGAGCTTTATTCCAAATGGCAGTTTCATTTATGTCAACTGCAAAATAAATGTAAGGAACCAGGTAATTCCAAAGTGAGCACTGGAAGCAGACTGTGAATTGTTTTCCCTGTTCCAAGCTGAGAAAAATTGGTAAGAATAGTCAGTGCACTGAGACATCTGGAAGATGTCGTCAGTTCCAAAGAGTATGAGAGGAGCCATAAACTATGCTCTCATTTTTGCTTTTCCAAATAGGTCAGCAAAGGGAAATTTCTTTCAGAGCTGTTTTGTACTATTTCACTTGAGGAATCACCAGCCTCAGGCAAAGGTGCAAAATACTTCACAATCTGAGGCTAAAGATAAGCTTTACTCTACATTTTGTAGCTTTTTTCCTTCAAAGTTCTAATTTATAGAATGGAATTTTAAAAAGCATAACAACCTTCCTCCACTTTGGAGTCAGGAGTCCATGTCCATTTAACCATTGAGATATTGTTGAATGTTTCAACCATCTTGGAGCCAAAATTTCGTTATTAAAGTGAACAGACCTGCTTTATGAAATAGTATTTGTGCTAGCAGTCAATTCAGAATTTTCAGGGATTGTTTCTGTGAATGTCCCTTCAGAGAGAAATATATCACAGTCACCACTACCAATACCAAATACCTTCACTAGTTTGGAGTTAGATGATTTTGCCATTCTAATATTTCATTACATAACTTAAGCTTTCTTGAATAAAACAGATAATATGGGAAAGGTTTGACAAAGAGGGCTTATAAGAAGCTAGGAATATGTCATGGAATATCTTACTGTAAGTGAGGTTGAAGTAACTGTTCCTAGATTTGTCAGGTCATCAGTCTTTCAGCAGAGTTGCTAGACAAGAAGAAATTATCTGCCCTGATGCATATGAATATTATTTTGGATCCTGTGACATCTGATATGTATGTTTTTCCCATTTTCCTAGATCTTGAAGTCATTTGAGGGTAATAGGAAAAGTAACTATAATTCTGATTTGTATCAGAATGACCTTTACAGAGCCGATTTACAGATCAAAGTGACATTTAGAGAGTAGAGTAAGATCTTGAATTTCCTTGTGCTAATTCAAATCCAGACACACAGAAAGTAAAGACCTGTCTTGTAAGTCATCCCTGAGAAGTCAAAGGTGCTCTCAGCAGTACTACAGTCTCTCAGTTCTTCTGTATCAAAAATGGAGTTCATCTGTCAGAGAAGGGGAAGAACATCTTCAGTCACAAGCTTGCCAAGCTGGTGAAGAGGGCTTTAAACTAAAGTTTCTGGGGGAGTGGAACCTCCATCCATCCCACTCGTACCAGTTTGATGCCAGTGACAGCAATAGCTGTTCAGAGCCTGGAGATGGATTGCAGGTCAGCATCTGAAGAGCAGCACAAAGAAATTGCAGCCACTCCAGCCAGCCAATGGGCCCATTTTTAATGACTGTGCAAACACTGTGTGTACATGCCTGAAGGGCTATGATCTATTTGGCATCAGTGAGCATGGTGGGATGGCTTCTATAACTGGTTTTGGAATGAAAGGATACAGGCTCTTTAGGAGGAGCAGGCAGGTGGATGAGGAGGGGGTTGCCCTCTATGTCAATGATCAGCTCAAGTGCATGGAGCTCCAACTGGGGATGGATGAGGAACTGTCTGAGAGCTTATGGGTCAAGATGAAAGGGAGGAAAGAGACAGGTGACATTATAGTGGGGGTCTGCTACAGGCTGCCTGACCAGGAAGAGTCAAAGGGGCCCTTTATAGACAGATAGGAGTGGCCTCACATTCATGAGCCCTGATCCTCAGGGTGGAATTCAACCACCCAGATACCTGTTGGAGGGGCAACACAGCAGGGCATAAGAAATCCAGGAGGTTCTGCACCTTTTTCACACCAACAAGGAGGTGCTGGTGAGGAATGTGAATCTCAAGAGCAGCCTTGGCTGCAAGTGACCATGAAGCGGTGTAGTTCAAGATCCTTAGGGCAGCAAGGAGGGCACACAGCAAGCTCCCTACCCTCAGGAGAGCCAACTTAGTCCTCTTCAGGGATCTGCTGAGTACCGTGGGATAAAGCCCTGGAGTGAAGAGGGGCCCAGGAGAGCTGGTTGATATTCAAGAATCACCTCCTCCAAGCTGAGGAACCAAACATCCCAACAAAGAGGAAGTCAGGTAGCAACACCAGGAGGCCTCTGCGGATGAACAAAGAGCTCCAGGACAAACTCAAACACAAAAAGGAAGCCTACATAGGGTGGAAGCAAGGACAGGTAGGCTGGGAAGAATACAGACAAGTTGTCCAAACAGCCGGGGGTGAGGTCAGGAAAACTAAAGCCCTGATAGAATTAAACCTGGCCAGATACTTCAAGGGCAACAAGAAAAGCTTCTATTGGTACATTGGTGCTAAAAGGAATACTAGGGAAAATGGAGGCCCTGTCCAGAAGGAAATGGGAGACCTGGTTGCCCAGGATTTGGAGAAGGCTGAGGTACTCAACAACTTCAGAGTTGAGAAACAGGCTTCAGAGGTGGGCCTGTGTGAACCTCCTGAAGTTCAACAAGGCCCAAGTGCAAGGTGCTGCGCATGGGTCAGGACAATCCCAAGCACAGATACAGTCTGGGCAGAGAATGGATTAAGAACAGCCCTGGGGAGAAGGACTGGGGGTGTTGGTTAACAAGAAGCTCAGCATGACCTGGCAATGTGTGCTTGCAGCCCAGATATCTAATCCTGGACTGCATCAAAAGGAGCTTGGCCAGCAGGTCAAGGGAGGTATTTCTCCCTTTCTACTCTGCTCTTGTAAGACCCCACCTGGACTGCTGCATCCAGCTCTGGGGCCCCAGACTTGATGGAGTGAGTGCAGAGGAGGGCAATGAAGATGATCAGAGGGCTGGAGCACCTCTCCAGTGAAGACAAGGCTGGAAGAGTTGAGGTTGTTCAGAGTGGAGTAAACAAGACTCTGGGGAGACCTTATAGCACCTTCCAGGACTTATACAGGCCCTAAAAGAGACCTGAAGAGGGACTTTTGACAAGGGAATGTAGTGATAGGACAAAGGGTAATGGCTTCAAACTGAAAGAG